TGACATCCATATACAGTGGCTATTCTTTAAAAGAGGTGCTGCTGTAGGTTGTCTGCTCCCTTACACATCATTCATCCGCAACCATATCAGCCCCCACACACTCCCCTCCTTTTATCCCTGTTGCACAGAAGCGTAATGGTCTTTTATCGATTCTTCCCTCTCTCGCCTTTCTTCTCTTTTCCGTGCTCTCTTCCCTGGACCGCAATGAGATGTTGTTAAGATAAGCTGCTGTGCCAGGGAGCCAGGACTCTTTGTTGATGAGCTGGGCAGCAAGGGTGTGTTTGTGTGTGCCATATGTGCTTATACCTATGATCCATTGGTGTGAATGTAGCATATGTGTGTGTAGGCAATAATGGAGCCCTTTGGAGAGAGATTATCTGCATTGTGTACAAATAGGCTTCATGAATAGAACATGCATTTAACTCCTATATAACCCCAGGGGTGTGTTAGGCAGCCAGAAGATGGCAAGTGTCGGAAGGGCAGATTTCATGGAAAGAAAATACTCCTTTTTTACCTATGAATCACTCTGGCTGTCTCGCTAAATTCCACTTAGGGCCCACTCGATATTACACTCTTTATGGCACAAATGCTCTCCGTAATAAATGTCGAAGCTTATATAGACCCCTCTTTTTTTATACTGTTGTTCTGGTGTTAATGGCTCATAATGTGAGAAGAGACCCGTAGATGTACGGAGCACAAAACACTTTTTATAGACGCTTACGTGTCTCCCGAGAAGGTACATTCGTTCCTTTCAATAGATTATGAGCAAAGGTGTTGATTGTTCACAAGGGAACAGGGATAAGCGTCGGTAAAAGGTCTCAAAGGCCAGGCGTTAGCAGGCGTATAGCATAATGTGCATTAATTTCATGAAGATTCAATCTCAAATTCAAAGAGGCATATAGATGGTATATTTTTGGTTTTTCTAAGCTCCCCACTTGCTTGGTGACTTTAACACATCTAGCACACACCCCAATGGTTGTTTGATATCAGCATATGCTTTAGAAGCCAAATTATTTTTCCATCGACTTTGTAGAGAATGGCACTTCATAGCACATTTTCACCAGAATAATAATGCTTCCAGGATGATTTTGTATCCCCAAATTGTGTCACGGTCTGTCTGTGTGTTGTGTTTTGTCTGTCTCTGATTTCCTGTTTTATTTTGAAAAGTGTTCACCCCCTGTCTTGTCTGTTGATTACTGTCTCTGTGTTTGCCCTCCTGTGTCTGATTGTCTGACTGTGTTCACCTGTTGCCCTTGTGTTTCTGCCTCCCCTGCCCAGCTGTGTCTTGTCCTGTGATTACCCTTCTTTGTATTTAGTATTGTCTTCCCCTGTGCTCCATGTCGGTTCATTGTTTGTTTTTCCTGTCTTCCTCCATGTCAGTTTTTCGGTTATGTTTCTTCCTTGTGCTACCGTTGTGTTGATGTCATGTTTTTTTTCATCGGCTTTTGAATAAAGCTTGTTTTTTGTTTATAGACCTTTTTACCTTTTTTATAGTCTGCATTTGGGTCCTACCTTTTCCCGAATCCTGACAAATTGTAACTAATTGGTCTGATGTAACAAACTATTTGCAGTGAGGAAGATCTTTCTAATGAACTCTGCCAGCCATTTCAAACATGTGAATATGTAAGGCGTTGGATCCCCTGAATTTCGTCAGGGTATAGTTTAAATAGCATTTTTCTTGAAACCTCTGTGAAAAGTTGTCACTGGATGGCATCGTTTATTTAAAAAACCTTGAATAGGTGCCTCACTAAAAGCCATGATCGACAGCTAATAACATCACCCGTGTCAGTTGGAGAAAGTTGGAGTCCTTTCTGAGATTGTGAGTAGGAATAGGGAAAGAACTACTCCATTTCAATATTGTTTCTTACCTTTTCACGATAACATAAGGTAGCAAATTGTCCACCTACCCATTGTCTTGATCTTCATTTTAAGTCATGAGCAAAGAAGACGTAATGTGGACAGTTTTATTAAACAGTCTGGTGTGTGACCAGAGTTGGCGCTATTTGAGTGACAACTTTGGGAAAATTGCAACCTTTAGTAGAGGGGGGGAAAAAAGACTACTTCTTTAATCCTTCAAAGAGTATCTAAGATTGGACTATTGACATTCTGGAGGATATAACCTCCAAACAGATGTCAGAGTGCTATCAGAAAACAGAAAATATGCAAAAGAAAAAAGTGAGAAAATACCTCTTTTTAATTGGCTAAAAATTCCTTAATCTCCACCGGAGCTTTAAATTATGGCTTTTTTTTCTACGAAGGAGCATGAGGGTGAAGAAACAAATCAAAACAGTGAGGCACCGGTTTTGATGAACAAAGAGCTGTCTGGAGACCAGTTTTCGTTTGCCTTTCAAAGTTGTAGGCCTCTTAGCAGTCTTTCATTGAAACTAAGCTGTGATGATCAGGATCCACTGTTATAGCACATCGTCTGTACAGCAAACGCACTGAGAGCTAAAGGATTACCAGACGTTGTCTTAATTGATCTCATTATCTTCTTCCTGCTTCTCTGTAAGGCCTTCAATTCTCAAGTGCATCTTGTGATATCTCTTTGACGCCTGCAAATTCACATAAAGTACCATTGTTGAAGTTGTGTTTTTTTCCCGCTTGAAATGAGTACCGGGGAATAGCTGTGAAAGACTAAAATGATTGTGAATGATACTATTTCACTGCAAATCCTTAATTGAAGGGGAACTGCACCATTATACACATCATGCGTTTAAAGGTCTTGTGGAGTACTACTTCATACTGTATGTGAACAAAAATGTGTAAAAATACTTTTGAGGCTCAATAATTTTTACAAGGAAAAGGATAATGTTCAGGGACGGTCAGTGATGTCATTAATGATGGCCCCTGCGGATAGTTTAGCCATCATCGCAACAGTCATGTGGCGCTTAGCAGAAGTGTGATAGCGAGCATTAACAATCTGTAATGTCCTAATTGACCAATCAGAATCAAGTATTCAAGCAAGCAGTGTTATAATAGGAGATAACACACTAGTTGGGTGGCATTCTGGGTAATGTAAACGCCAGGTCTTGACAAGGGAAGATAATGCATCTATTAAAAAGAATATTTCTGGTACTTTAATTTCAACTTTGAATTAAGTAGTATTATTCTTATAGTATATGCTTAAAGATTTGTAGTAAATGCCAACATAAGGAGGAACATTTGTTAGCTCACGTTATTTTTCATTTATTAGTCCAACCAACAAAGTTTATATATTCCTAGCAGTGTAGAATATTAATTGATAAGTAAATGAACAGTTACATTTTGATTGTGGCACAGTGTCAGATTGAGACATTTATTAAGTGCACAAAGTGACAGTCATCACAGTACATTAGCGCTTTAGCAGTAAATAGATAAGTTCATGGCTGTTCATCACCATGTTGGCCTTCAAGACATTTCCAAAGTAAATGTGATGTGAAGGGCTTTTGATGGAAACAAAAGCTTGAATCAAGAAGTCTTGGACCTCAAAAAATAAGGTGTTTGATTAAGTTTTGTAAGTAGACTACACACACACACACACACACACACACACACACCTCTGGGAAGTGTTATTTGGACCAGAAACAAAATGGGATTTAGATGTTCCTGTTAAGGTCGACACTATTCAAAAGCCTCCCCCTCAGCTGAGTCAGTGCTACTTTGAAAAACTTCTAAAAGCTTGTGAGTACACATTGGCCTTTTCTAATCTGTTGCTCCGACACTGGTTCTGTATTTATTATGCTGTTATTGTGCACTTCGCTGAGTGATTTAATTCAGGACATTTGGAATGACTAAATAAATATTAGCCATTGTGGTGTAGTGTCTATTTACTTTGTAACTATTGTTTTGAGAAGTGCTATGATAGGTTGAAATGTGACGCATTCACGGCGGAACAACAAACAAATAGCACTCTCAATCTTCATTACTCTTCTTTTCTTTCTCAGGAAAACGTTCATGTGCCCGTGCAGAATTGGAAGAGCATTTGTATATTCTATACCCTAGGCCTGGAATATCTTTGGATAATTAATTTAAACTCAACTAATTTACCTTGTAAAGTGTTTTTCGATCCATATTGAAATTATTTAAGGCAGATTCCTTAAAATGCTTGTAATTTAACCTGAATACTTCTTTTTAAATCCCCTTTGGAAATGTTGGTCCCTTATGCTTAATTTTTAGTTTTCTTTTAATTCATGAATCCTCTTGTGTTCTATGTCTGTAACTATGTGTTTTTTGTATTGACTGTTTTACAGTAGCAAGGGCTGCCGTGAAAAATATCCTGGTCTAAATAATTAATGCAATGTCACCAATATTAGCAAATGACCGTTATTAGGACATTATTTGAAAATAACTACAGAGGTGGAGGCTACCCATGGTTTAAAATAGTTCCAAGTTTGCTTTAATTTATTAACTCAATAAGACCTTGAGAAATATCAATGCACTCTATCATTACATTCTATCTTAATCCTAGCAAGACAGCATACAATCTTGTTTCCCATAAGAGCTTGGAGCTTTATCTCAAGGGTTATTACCGACAAAATATAATTTATACAGTATGTATACCTGCAATTATGTCTTTATTGTAATTATTGCTTTAAAGACAGGCGGAAGATGTCTAAGGTTATTTTGAAACTGTGTCTTAGTTAGAGACTAGTCATCCCCAGTTTAGCTATTTCAAAATGTTGAACAACTAAGGATGTTGGACAACTAAGGATAATTAACGTTTGTTTGCCAGATACCTTCATTTCTGTAGTGCTAAAAAATTGACTTTCGTCGAGGGACAATGGTCTCTAAACCAGGGCATCACACAAACACAATTTCTCTTGTTCAAAATTCTTACACAACCTCATGCTATGGATTCCTATAAATGGTAGTGAATGCTGTGTCGTGATGTAAATAGATAAATAGAAAGTCTTGAATACTGATATAAAATTCAGAATCTGTCTTGTGTTATTTGCTAGTCCCCAGGATCACTATGTTGTTAGCGCTAAAACTGATTGATGTATTTCTGTTTTCCCCGGCAGGACACTGAGATCCTCAACACAGCTGTCCTCAATGGGCGAACGGTGGCCGTGCCGGTGAAGGTAGTTACCGTAGGAACAGACGGAGCGGTCTCTGATGTAACCGAGTCAGTGGAGTGCAAGTCAACAGATGAGCAGGTTATTAAGGTTAGTGGGGAACGTGTTTTGAGCAGCTGCTTTTTGTTTTACCTTTTTCCAATGTGTCTCCTGCTTCATGCTAAGTTTTTTTTTTTTAGTGGTACGTGGGTGGGTGAGCAGGATGAATAAAAGATAGCCGGGTTGTTGAAGTGATTTGTGCCCATTAGTCGGGGAAGCAGGTGCTACATTTTCTACAGCAAAATAAGGCCTGACTTTCCCTTCTTTTTTTGTCGGTATGCCAGAAATTGAGAGGTTCTCCTCAGGTGTGAAATCGATACCTGGGAATGTCTGAATAACAAATAAAAGAAACAACGTGCCTTTCTTATTGAACAGCCTGATGAAAGAAAGCATTTAAGCTTTTTCTCTGGAGTTGTGCTTTTAAGTGTATGTGCAACTGCATCTTGGGCTCACTTATGCAGACCTTCTTTTATAGATCATGAAACATGAAACACACAATCATAAAGTCAGCATGTTTTCAGAATACTATTTTGATGCATTGTCACAAACAGTGTTTCTAGAAAGAGAGAAAACAGAAAGATGTCTTGTTTTTTTATTATATAAGCTGAAGTCTGAACCAAAATAAGAAGACAGAAGCTTGGATTTATATTTTACAAAATTGGAACTCCAATCTGCCTTGCTTATTTCACTTGCCTCCAGAAAAATGTTAAAATATTGTTATTGAATTTATTGAAAAAAATGAAAGGCCCTCAAATTAGGTCATTTCCTGCATTAAAAAGGTTGTTATTTCAAAGCTTAATGTATGCACCAACAATAACTTATTTTTCTTAACTGCTCCTGTTTGCAATTTCATCACCACGTGCCAAAAATATGACTTTGAGAAACCATAAAAAAGTGATAAAATGGTTGATTGATTTTCTATCGTGCAAGTTTTAAATCTCTGTAAATGTATGGCTTCCTGAAAGCATAGGTAATTAATCTCAATCCTTACTGAATGCTTTAGGGAAATGATACACTGGATTTGTTGTCAATCAAAAACAAATCGAGTACAATCGAATATTTAAAGTAAAAGGTGGAGCTTTTTACTATAACAACTCCAGATATAATATCTGGTCCTCAACATGTCCCTATGGTATTATGTAAAGGAAGACACAGGAAATAAGTGAGAGAAATGTGAAAAAAGTGTTCTTAATATTGAGTAGAAAATGAATAATGTTGCAATGTGCTTGTGTTAGAGCGGATTTGTTGTGTTTCTGTTTACCGTACATGCATATCAGAGAGAAAAGAAGCAGAAGATCTCTCAAAGGGTTTAATTATCCACTGTAGAAGTACCACACATTGTGACGCTGACCTCAGTAGCAAACTCCCCTGCCCACCCGGCTAGTTTTGGAATAATATGCTCACCCCTCCTTCCTCCACCCTATTTTCAAACGGAAGCCATGATAAAACATATTTTTTTATCAGTAAGCATCTCCATCCTCACTGACTGTTTCACTGAAACGAATGGAGCAAGTCCTTGGTGACCTTACCCCATAAAAAACACTTATGTAAACTTAAAACTATGGAACATACCAAGATGGTGGTTATTTTAGATTCATTTGACCCAACAGATACAAATTGTATCTTTGGCTGTAGAGCACAATACTGACCTAAAACTATTTAATAATTGCCTAATCAATCAAGTCATTTAAAAGCCAAAATGCCAAAAAATCTGATTGTGCTGCTTGTCAAATTGTTCAAATGTGTAATTTGTTGTTTTTCTTAGTTTTCAGTGATTTGGGTTTTGACAACACGAGAAATTTCAAGAAGCTGCCTCAGACTGGGAAAACGTATCTGACATGTTATAGACCAAATGTTTAAACGAAAAAATAATCAGCCGATTAATCACTGCCATTACGGCCAGTCCTCTCCTTTAAAGAGATAATGTTATCATTAGCCTTAATTGATTGCTTAACAACTCGTTATAATGCAATGGCATGAGCACAATCTTGCCGACGTAGCTCATTTATCATAGCCAGTAAAGGATTTTTTTCTCAACTTCTTAAAGCAGTTTTGAAAATAGTTCATGTTTTCAAATGTTGAACAATCCCTAGTTAGGTCACAGCCAACCTGACACCAAGCCTTTTGTGTTGTGGGTTCATCTCCCCTGTAAACATGATATCAATGTTTCCATTTCTACATGCCAATTGCCTACTCTGCCTGTTATCATAATGCAATACGCAGTGCTTAGGTTAACAAGTGAGGCCAGGCATGTCCATGACTCAGTGGGACATTGCTGCTTTTGACTGGCTTTCAAGGCATTTCCATGCTCAACAAGTGGCAAAACACATTATTACTGTAGACTATAGAATTTACTCCCGCAGAAAAGGGAAAGGTAATAAGCAGTGAGGAAGTGTTTATGTGAAACAAACCTAAAACCTAAATTGTAAGCTAAAGATGAGACAATATTGTCTATATTTATTGATTTAGAAGGGGAATATTGATTGTAAGACAAAATCAACAAAATCAAAACAAGCATGTGTTTAGATATTCAGTTTCAGTTCGAGTTGTACTAGATTGTTCTCATGATGTCGAGCACAAGGTGTATTAATAAACAGTTGAGCCTCCTACTACAATTAACTTTATATATTTAAGAGATCTTTATAGTTGACAATGATGGAAACCGAACATACTTGATGGTCCAAGAAGCAGAAAAAATGCACTTCTGCTCAGCGCCCTGAATGTGTCACCTGTTACGACAAATATATTTGAGGGGAATGAAAGAAATCTTGACATACTTTACAAAACAGCCGCAACAGAATTGTCCCAGTACAGACATTTTTTGTCAGATATCATTTCAGTCACAAACTCATCCGCGTATGCCTCACACTGAATTTGATCCCGCTGTGTCTTATCTGTGTTTGCCACTCTGCATCAATTCGAAAACTGCATTATTAGCGAAACAATGGATTGTTTCCATTGAGAAGTGACATTGATTTTTGCAGGGCCTCGTGACACATTCACAGTGATACATTGCTCATGCAGAGCGGGGGATGTCACCTTCGAGAGATCACAATTAAATCTTTATGGTTATCATTTCTGATGACTTTCATAAGGGGAAGATGGATCTAGAATTTAGATACGGAAGTGGTACAAAACTACAGATTGAAAGGTAGAAGTGAGCTGACAGAAAATGTGTTCAGCATTGGGGTGGGAGACAGGGAGGGAGAGGGAAAGAGAGAGAAGGGGGAGAGAGAAAATGAACATGGCAAAAGGAACAAAAATAGAGGAGAGGCTTAAGAGACTCAATGAGGAGTGAAGTAGAGTTTTTCAGCTCATTCTTTGGATGGTTGCCCTTTGAAAGCCTGCACATTGGTGCATGTCGTCTATGTGTGTGTTTCTGTTACTTCAATGTGAACACACCTACCAAATAGACACATTCACTAACAGTATCTGATCCGTTATCATTACTGTAACTCGCATCAACTGTTCACAGCCAACGAGAGCTGTAATTATTCAAATACGTAAGTAAACTGGATTTTTTGTTATATTACATTTATGAAATATAATACATGTACCTAGCATATTGTAGTGTACAACTAATTTCAAGACACAACTGCAGTGCTCTTCTGTCCAATGAAATACTATAAAAGACAACAAGAGAAGCCACAGTTTTTATTTCCTTCCAAAAGCACTTTGCTCTACATTTAAAAATAGATTTAGGCTAGGCCTCTTATCACTTCTAAAGAATAAAACCTTCAGGAATTGTTGAGCACTGTCAATATCAGATAAGTATTTTACTGTATTATTTATCTCTGCTGCCTGAATCAGCTTAAAAGCTGTTAAATGCATTGAAGGCTGTAACTTTGTTGATAGGATTAGTCATTTATGTGTCATTAAAAATGACCATAATAATTTCTCAGTACTCAATTTGATTCCTTCATATGTCTTGTTATGTCTGCTCGACTATAATCCCAGCTATATTTAAATTAAAACGGTATCAAATATTGTTAGGCCGAAAAACCTCACATTTTAAAAAGCCATGAACAGTCAATTTTAGTCTTTTTGTCTTTGGCAATAAGTAAATCTCAAAAGTAAAGTGTTGACAATGAATTGTACGCCTATTGATTAATCATGCAAAAAAGATGGCAGACCTATTTGCATCAAGCACTTGTTTTTCCAGTTAATCAAACTAATAATTGTTTGATATTGTTAATAACGACCATGAAATCGTACAAAGTCATCATTAGACTTGCACTGTTGATCCTATCACTAGCGCTCTGCTCAACAATGCTAATGTTCAATAGCCAGTAAAACACATGACAGATGTGGGTTGTATATTGTTTTCTCATCATGCCACAGATGACTTGATTGTGAACCTAAATTTGATTTCTGAAACCAATCATTGAAAGAAAACTTCATTTCAAATCTTAAACCTTCCCCTCACCACTTAGTATAATTCTGAAGCACATTGTTTTCTCAACACAGAAAGACTGAACATGTAGGAGTTACAGTGATGTTTTGGTATGAAGAGTGGGAGAGAAAGAGGAAAAGAAAATGGAGGAGGAGGAGGAGAGTACTGACAAGGAGGCTGGTCTGACATCATTTGAGAGTAAAGCTGCCAAATTATATGCAAAGAAGTGGACACAGATGACAGTCTTCTGGTGATTTGTTACAAAGGGGCAATTCCGTGAATACATGTGCTGAAATTACCAGTTGTGCCAATCAAGCTTAAGATGGTATTTGAGATAGAAATAATTGAATTGAATTGCAAGTGATTACAAACACAAACATTGACGACAGAGATTGAGAAAATATTTCTTCTGGCGCTCTGAAGATAAAACACATTTCTTATGTCCCTGCTATGTATCCCTGTTGGAGATGCATCTGAGAAACCACGGTAACCGATGCGGCCAATCGTAATTTGGTTCGAGCAAGAGTTTTGCTCTGAAGGTTTTCCTCTTTTTTCAGCTCCATCTGTTAAGTTGGACCAAAGGCACATTAGTGGCACACATTGTCCTGTGTGCATGTGCAATAAAGATGCATCTGCTTACATTCACACACACACACACACACACACACACACACACACACACACACACACACACACACACACACACACACACACACACACACACACACACACACACACACACACACACAGGAAAGCCAGGAGATGTTCAAGACTTCGAGGGCTCATTAAAGCAGTGGCAATTTCTTCCACCATCCAGCATTTCAAAATACCAAGAAAACACCTTGATCTTCCTTAAAGCATTCCAAATGATATATTGTGTCCACTACACACATTTGTTATAAAGAATACATTTGAAGAAGCTGTTATTACATAATTAGCTTGTTTCTGTATCTTTTTAGGTTTGGCTATTATGCTCCTGCTCGTCTAATCTTCCCCTTTTCTCTCTAGGTGTCAGAGCGATGTGACTATGTGTATGTCAACGGGAAGGAGACAAGAGGAAGGACCAGGGTGATGCTCAACTTTACGTACAGTTTCCTCAGCGCCCAGCTGGAGATGAGCGTGTGGATGCCCCGCCTGCCCCTCCTCATCGATGTGGCCGACCCCGAGCTCAGCCAGATCAAAGGCTGGAGGGTCCCCGCTAGTACAGGCAACCGGAGGTAAGGCCAGTGGCACATAAACTGTCAGTGGTGGAATAAGTAGCAATACCACAGTGTAAAAATACTCTGTTATAAGTTAAAGTCCTGCCTTTAAAATCTTACTGAAGTATTTCTGATGCCATTACTCCAGTACTTAGAACTCTAAGTACAAAATGGTTATGGCTCATTTCATAATAATATAAATGCAATTAATGGTTTATGATAAGTATAAATGTCTCCATTACACCCGGTAAAGGTGGAGTTAATTAAAAAAATGTAATGATTTCTGCTGGATATGTTAACTTTTATATAAATGTTGGCTTGTTAGTTGATTTTTATTTTGTATTAGCTAATAATCTGAATTTAAAGTTGTCAATTAATAGTTATGAATAAAAAGGTTCAATACTGGCTTTCAATATTAAGAATAAAAAACAGCATTAAATACAATCACTCATGTAAAGTACACGTAACTTCAAATGCTATGCAAGTACAGCATTCAGTCAAATATATTTAGTTAAAGAATATTCCATCACTGTATTCGGCTACATGTTACACCTATTCAATGTAACTGCAGCACTACATTCACAGCTAAATGGTTTAATACTTAAACCAATACTTAACCTGTGAACAAGGTCCTTCCTTAATAGAAAAGCTTTCTCCCAGTAACATATATTTAAACGCACAACTTGGCCATATTAAAATAGTCCAAGGTCATATCCTGAATTGCTTTATTTAGGTCATTAACCTAGGAGATTTGTCTTAACAAACCCTGCCTGAATGAGAATCCCATTTGACACTTGGTTAAATTAATGAAGGCTGCATTAAATTGGATTTGAAAGGTGGTTGAAGACATATGAGGCATAAAATGCAGGTGCAGCTGCAAAGGTGGTGTAACGAGTGTCGAATATTATCCGCCAAAAAGTAACCGAATAAGAAATGAGTTATAATTTTGAGCATTACAGATCATGGACAAAATTCCTAAGGCTGAAAAGGGACAAAGTGTGCAGGGAGTTTTAATACAAATATTTTCTTGAACTATGAATACATTTTATTAAAATAAGAAATAACCCTCATAATAAAAATAAATGATCACTGATGGACACTGACTCATTTATATTTATTAATAGCATTTTTTACAAATTACTATTCACTGTGATCTTAGACAGTAACTATGGTGAAGTAAAAAAAGCACAGTTTTTGTGATTTAAAAATGAATTAAATTGTTCCATACCCAGTTCATTAGAGCCAGGATATTACATTCATGCACAATTCCTACTGTGAAATGAAAACAGCAATTATGTGATGTCGTCTTTGAAATATAGGTCCCCTAATTGATAGCATTTAAATGAACAATAAGTGAGAACGTGAAGTCCCAATTTGTACATAATAATAAATGGAAATAATCCTGGGATTGATGGATAAGGCTGTGTGAAGAAATCTGATTTTTAATAGGCCTGGCAAATTAACACTCACAATGGATGTTATAGAAATAACTGCTTTAATAATTCTTTATATGCACAGAACCTCTTTACTGGAAACATCTTTTTACTATGCTAGCTCAAAGTTACTGCAGTGATATTTTCCAATTTCCTAGACTCCACAGGGTGGCACTGTAATACAAATACCCTCTGCTGTCCATGCCTGATCCCATCAGTCAGGCCTGTCAAGTGCATCACTTCATAAAAAATGCACGATATGAACGAGGTGGAAACACCAAAGGCACAATGAAGAAAAATAAAAGGTTTCTTGGCATTGTTTATCATTGTGTGCGTGGAGGCCCATTCACATTCATCACCTTTTTGCACGGCAACACCTTGGCTGACCTGTCACTCACCGCGACAAACATGACCTGACCTCATGTTTCTGTTGCCAGCCACAAATGTCACCTTGGTTTAGCCCGCCGTCCCTCAGCTGACAGGGAGGAAGGGAAGGGGAGGGGATGAAAGGCAGGTTAGGAACTAAGCCAAGCCATTGGGCCACAGCATGTTAACCTGTCAGCCCGTTTTCTGCCTGACCGGCCATGCCTCATTAAACCTAATGGAAACTGTCACTGTCACTCCCCCCCGGCCACATGACTGTTAGAGAGGTAGATGCAGGCTGAGCTGGAAGAGGGACAGAGGATACAGGTGAGAAATGCAGACTGAGGGAGTTGAAAAATAGATTACAGGAAAGTCAAGTTAGAAAATGTTATCGAAAATATAGAGTGAGAGTCAGCCATGGAAGAGATATGGCAATGCACAGGAGAGCAAAACAGACCGTTGTGGTAATAAAGATCGATGGAAGATGAAGTTTGTGGATGGATAAGAGTGATGTTTACGGTTAACAGTTACAGCAATGTTTTTTTTCATCGTCAACAAGGTTTACTCTTTAGAGCAGATCTGTGTCCCAAGGCCACATTTCACCCGTCACTGCAGCTCAGATGGTTTAGCATTGAGACCAAGAAATACACTATGTTGTTGCTGGGTATGATGTATCGTAGAAGTTGAGGGAGCAATTTCTGTCTACAAGTGTTTTTTATGTATTTTTGAAAATATTTGGAACCTACAACCTATGGGAGGTACATTATACTTTTGATTTAGGACAACCCACTTAGAAAATACTAGACGAACAGAACAGAATCAATTTGATCCTTAATATAGCAAAGTAGGATATCAACTGTTCTTATCTATCCCGTTGAGTTTTGTAATGTTATAATTGCAGTTAAACATGTATGTGCGATGTACATTTTGCCTAGTAATGGTATTGAAACAGTTTTTACTTTAAAGGGGACCTATCATGCGAAAGTCTTTTATACATAAATATTTGTCCCCTGTGCGTCGGGGAACTCACGCAGCGTCAGAAAATAAAACCCTCTCTTTTCCACCGTACCCAAATCTTTTAAAAATAGGACAACGAGCGGTTACAGATTCCATCCGAACTGAAGTGAAATCGGCAGCGGACCCACAGAAAGTTGCTATCAGAAACAATGCCTGACGTGTTTTGGACGTCTTTGTTTACATTAGCAAGCCTCGCTAACACTCAGAGCTAACCTGTACTGGAGAGCGCATGTGTTTAAAAAGCAGGAAATAAAAAAAGGAACTCACCTTGTGATAAACCGGCAAGAGAAAAAGCATTTGAGCTCCATACTATTTCAGAAATAATCCTTGACGTGGTTTGGACAGGATGGCGTTTTATCACAGCAGAATTTAACTTTATCTCCGGTAGAATTCTGATCAGGCATTAGCTCCGCCTCCTCTTCTTTTCTTTTTTTCAAGCTAAGGACCCAAGATCCGCGTTCCTCCAACAGGGCAGCAAAAGAGGGGTTTGAGCAGTATGAGTCATGGCTACAATGGGTGATTTGTTTGTTATTTTGAAAAAAAAACTTCACAAACATGTTTTGTATGGGTATGGCCCTACAATATATGTTTCAAATATAGCATGATAGGTCCACTTTAAATTGTACCAAGCTGTCTATTTCTATCAATGTGTGGATGTCTGATTAGATCGCAGATGGAACCACTTAGCCCTCTTTCGTTATTCTTTGCAGGATTTCTCCAATTTCCAATCCTGTCCTTCATTTGCGACCTTCCCAACTCTAATGTGGCTCTGTAAAAGTGATAAAAGGCCTTATAAAATGTGACTTAAATAAGAGGGAAAGTGTCACAAAATTCCCAGACTGGGTTTGCATTTATTTGTTACAAAACATATCTTTCAGAGATCTGCAAAGCGTTTGCCGTGGGCTAAATAAATGGCAGACATACAGCAAAATATCAGTTGCCCTTTGAAAGAAAATGAGAAAACAAGAAAGGCAGCAGTTTGTCTCTGCAAGCTGTTTTTAATGGATTTTTGATAACACTGGGAGCATATGACTTTCGGGAGGTCGAGTAAACCTGCAGCACAGTGGAGGCATCGGCTGCAGTAAATACATCAGAGGGTTCGCACTTCATGGCCATTAATGGTGATAATGAAAACTGGGACTAAAGTGAATTGAGATTTAAAAAAAGTTGAATTATGCTGGTGATGACCTTCAGTTTTGTTTTCATATACAGATAAGTGTGTTCCTTACTTTTTTCTTCAGGAACAAGTATGCTTTCTGCCTCTTTCAGAAGTTATCGATCAATCCTTTATTCTCATTGATTATTTACTCTTTCCCATTGATGCAGGTATGAGAGAGTCACTGACGACAGAGAGGAAGACGACGATGCAGCTGGCGGGAGGACAGACAGCGGCTGTGTGGCGCAGTATCAGAGCACCACCCTGCGCGTCCTCACACACTTTATAGCAGATACGGGAGAAGTTAAAGGGGCCACGGAGGAGGAGGGGCAGGGCCAGCAGAACTTCCTGCTGGGCAGCGACTGGCAGGTGGAGGTCACACAAATGGTCAAGGACTCTCTGAGGGTGGAGGTCCCGAAGGTCGCACAACTGCTGGATGGCCAAGTCCTTATAGGACTGAGCCCTGGGATCACCAAAATACAGGTGTGTGTTGAGTGTGTGTCTTTTGTTTGCCTGATAAGCACACTGCCATTTTGTTTCACTTTTCCTCAGTTTTTAGACTGACGTGGTCATGTTTGAGGTCGTTTTTTTTGGATAGGGGAGCTATTTTTGCCCTTAGCAATCAGTATTGACTGACACATCTGTTGTGTCAACATACATTTCGGTCGACAAAAAACCTTGCACTATAGCTTTTGCGAGCAGCAAAACTAAATGTGCAATTAATACAAATAAAACTTGGTCTATTCCTAAGTCAACTCAGAATAACATGGCATTTGTGGCATTTTTCTGAATCCAACGTCCTCAATCTTTATGCGTCTGGTATGTTTTTTCCACTAACAAACAGTCATTGAGTTGGTGTAGAAAAAGGATATATGGGAGGCATTGCAGAGGAAGTAGACAAATGCATTGAGAAAATTATTTTCTGTTCAAAACAGGATATTAAACAATCCATGGGGAAAGGAGAAGCTCCACAAATCAAAATGTCCTTGAGCAATTGAACAAATGTGTAACTTATAAATGGTAGCTCATAGCTCTACAAGGCTTTAAGACTTTCTAAAATGTTGTGGTGGTTGAGTTCACAAATGTATTACCTGTCCAGGATCAACAGCAGGCTTCTAAAAGCTAATGAACTGACTTGTGATCATGGAGCATCAAGGTGAAAGGAATTTTAGCCATAAACAAAACTCTGATGAGTGCAAATGTTGCTCTGTGTCTGGAGGCATAAAACAAAAAACAACTAGATAGTACAGAAAGAAAATAAAAGCAACATAAGCCATTGGAAGTAATATAGAGGGGAAAGAAGACATGTTTGGCCATGGAAAGGTAAGAAAGTACAAAAACAACATTGATCGCAGCATAGCACAAATACTTAAGCTCTATCTTAAGCTGACAGAGAAACATAGCATCAAGGCCAGTCTAATGACAGCTTGCCCCTCTACGGCCTCTCTTTCCCTCCTTTTTCTCTACCTACGCCCACACAAACACCCCCATTCTCTCCTATTTCTGTAATACTACAACCAGGTGTTAGCTCAGGACGACACGCGTGCCCGCTCGCACCGTAAATCAACACCAATCTGGCATTTACAAGATAGCACAACAGAGAACAACACTGTGTGAAAGCGGTGGAGTGGAATCATAATCTCGTTTTTTTATTTATCAATTGTAGAGCTTAGTGCACTGCAGGAGTGATTACATGAGTGAGGGGCATGGTTTATATAGAAGAAAACTAAATGAAAAGATATTTAGGATTGAGTGTTAAGACTGATACTGATGAAATGGAAAGAAAGAGAAACTTAAAAGGTGCACCTTTAAATTGCTTCAAAGTTATAATGTGGTATATTTGCATTTGTCTGATCTAGATGTTATGTCACTAATGGCAATTGTTTGTTTACCTTTATACGTTTGGCTATATACTCGCTTATATACTGGCTATGGTGGCAGAAGCTACTTCGTTTTTCATGGCAAATAAGCAAAAGACAAACAAAGCATTGACAACTACATTACAAAGAATATGACATCTGTTTAATTCAGTCACATTTAAGGTCAACCTTGCAGAACAAGTGCTCTCAGATTGTTGATGCAGAACTCCAAGCATTATCACTGCAGTAACCAAAGAGAAATCTGTACAATTACCGGTACATTGGATTTAAAGCCATTGCAGGTAATACACAGCTTTATTTACAGAGCAGCTTGTTCTAGCTCTCCCTCAGGGTAATGATGATTTCCTTTATCATTAAAACGCAAACTCTGTCAGTGAACTCAATACCACAGAAGGAATAGAATATGTAATGTTTCTTCGATTATATCAACATGTTTTTCTCAAAGCATTAGTTATGTTTTCAGCGTAGTCTTTGGTATGCTGGTCAGGTAGTCTGTGGAAAAGGTTAAATCATTCTGAGGGAAAACATTCACTTGATTTAAGACAACGCTTCTGGGCTTAATCCAGTAAAAACATGTAAACTCTTGAGAAAGCAAAGCGTGATCTCAATGAACCACCAGGTTTCCGTATTCCAGTGGCCATCCTAATTTTCCTAAGAACAACACAAACCATGTATCACCATGTTGCCGTGACCTCTTTTTTAGTTTTANTTGGAAGTAATATAGAGGGGAAAGAAGACATGTTTGGCCATGGAAAGGTAAGAAAGTACAAAAACAACATTGATCGCAGCATAGCACAAATACTTAAGCTCTATCTTAAGCTGACAGAGAAACATAGCATCAAGGCCAGTCTAATGACAGCTTGCCCCTCTACGGCCTCTCTTTCCCTCCTTTTTCTCTACCTACGCCCACACAAACACCCCCATTCTCTCCTATTTCTGTAATACTACAACCAGGTGTTAGCTCAGGACGACACGCGTGCCCGCTCGCACCGTAAATCAACACCAATCTGGCATTTACAAGAAGACCAGGTTTCCGTATTCCAGTGGCCATCCTAATTTTCCTAAGAACAACACAAACCATGTATCACCATGTTGCCGTGACCTCTTTTTTAGTTTTACTAGAATCTTTTTCACAGTCAATGCGAAGGACAGATTCATACCATCCTTTATTGGCTCCTTCTAGGCAACTTAATCAGTCTTTTTGAAAGATACTGCGGTTCCAAAACAGGTACACATTGACCTTTCAGCAACTTATGGGCTGAGGATTTCCCAGGATAACTCGTATAATCAGCAAATAATGAACAATGCAGTAGCAGTTACACAATGTTTTTTTTTATTTTAACATTGCTTGAGAAGAACTATGGAGAACATGTTTTTGATTTATTATTATTTGTATTCGGAAGCCAATTAGGAAAATATCTCAAAAGTACTTTAAGTCCAAGCTGTGACATTTTAGAAATCAAACAATTTAGTTAATGAGATCCATTTTGTATACCAAACTATTGTTTTTACCTTTTCGGTGCTAATGTTTTTGCATGTGTGGACTGATACCTATTGTTTGTTAATGTACTGGATTACAGACAATCCATAAACTAATGTGGACATTGTTTAAAGGATTATGTGAAATTGAGAGCTTGTTTCTCTAAAAATATATATGGAAGGAGCCATTGCTCAATTATCCATTAAACATAGTGTTAATACCAATACACTCCATTCTCCAATGTCCAAGGGCTTTGAATAAAAAACGCATTAGGAGTTTTATTTTTGATCAAACTGTTCAGAATTACAATGAAGGACTTGGACTTGACAATTAAATGACAGCAAAGGATTTCAAAAGGCCACTGAGGTATTAAAATATTCCATAGTGGCCATAGAATTGGTAATGTGATCATTAATATACTGTGCTGCAAATTCAATGGTGTCCGAGGAGAAATGAAAGAATTCATTCAAGCACCGTCTTTCTGACATGTTATGGATAGACTTTCTGCATGCAAAACACATTTCGCCATTTAACTCTACAGAAGTGTCGAACAGAAATAGGTCTAGGAAGTGCTGGGTTATATGTTACATTGTTGGTTGCACCAGTTTATTTTGCCAGATTTTGCAACTTTGCTGACTATTACAGCATAAAGGAAGTGAACAACAAATTTTGCAATTTCTTCAGACCATGTGTAAAATATCTTCAAATGTATTATATTGTTAAAATCATTCCCAATGCTGTTTAGAGTATTTGCATTGATCTGTTCTGCCAACAGCATTGGGTTTCTAACTCTTGCTCCATACACAGTCAGTAGGTGTTGGCAGGCAATTTACAGTTACTATGTATACGTATAATACAAACACCTTTACGTTATAAACATACTGATTCATAAATGGTTTTTCTATAAATAAATAGGTAAATAAATACTGTTTACAGTTTTAGGTGAATGTTGTCCGTTGTAGTTCTTAAAATATCAGAAGTTCGAATTGACCAAGAAAATTCAACAAAAAAGCACCAAAAAACAAGTTTAAAATACCTTATTGACGTTTACACACATTTACCTGCATATATTTCTAAGGTTCTTAAGCCTTAGTGGTTGCTGAGCAAAGAATATAGCATATGTTGTATTCGCCTAGATTAGATTTAAATATAATGCAGCCAGATGTCACTAGCCGATAATGATGTGAATCTACACAGCCAAAGGTGGAGCAAATATGCTGCTGGTTTAAGTATAACCTTTAGCAGAAGAGCAGCAGTGATTATGTCCATGATTTCTAACTAACCATAGCCCATTAGTTTCTGATGAACATTCCGTGTCACAGCTTATTATGCTCTACTTTTATCAGTACAAAAAACTTCCAGACAATCAGTGTGCATGCTTATTTTTAAGAGTGATAATCACCACCCAGTCTATCTTTTTAACCTTTACATTCATCCCAGAGATGAGGTTAAACCAAATTTCCCATTTTATGAGACGACACTGATTTAAGCGTTGTTTAATATTCAAGATTATCAGTTTCACTGTGTGGGAGGCAAAAGGGGGAAAACAAGAGGTAAACCAAAGGGATGAAAACAGGGAAAAGGGGTCTGTAGAACGAGGCAGTTATTAGTGCTGACAGTTCATTACGGCTGGTAAATGCAGCCATGCGGGGGCGGATGCAGGAGAGTCTGGAGCCCTAATTGGAGCGGATGGGAGGGATTCTCATCACATAACAATATCACAACTATTTACATGCTTACGCCTCTGGCAACTCAGGGAGATGGAGAACTGTGCGGTGGAGATAATAGGTTTGCATGTGAGTTTAGGAGTGTTTTATGTTCGGTGCGTTTGGTAATCACAATGCAGAGTTGATGTGCATGTGGATTTGTAACTTAATTTAGTGAGTGCAGAATACAGAGGAAATGCAACTTTAATTGTATTTACATTTGTATTGATCCAGAAAACAAACAAGAATAGGGAGGTATAGTAAAGGAATCAAAAAGTATTAGTCTTGGCTAATGGGAATAATCTAGTACTGTATCTGAACATATTGAAATACATAGCCTTGTCAAATTATAAAAAACGTATTTTGCAACAGCAATTTGTAACTGTTTTTAAACGGTTACGGCCCGTCCACAGCGGCGTGCGTTGAAGCTTGCCGTCGGGCGTGTCTGAAACTCGACCAACAACCAATCACATGAATCTCCCGCCCCTGACACACAAGCAGCGGTTTCATTGGCTAGAGCTTGTACTGGCATATGATTCGATTGGCTGACGCTTCTGCCGAGGCTTCAAAAGTTGAACATTGCTCAACTTTTGCAGCGAGCCACGCCAGCAAAGCTCCGCTTCGCTTCCCACAAGGCAATTTGGCGAAAAGTGACGTCACCCCATTCAGAGTGAATGGTGAAGCTTTCAACGCACGCCGCTGTGGGGACGGGCCGTTAAGATAAATAATGTTTGACTTTAATGTCAAATAGTGTTTGACTTGTTGAGCATAAATTCAAGTTTAAGCCTGTTTCCATATTGTGAACCACTGAAACTCAGTGAGTTTGACTGAATTTGAAGAAGCAACTGCAAAGGCAACTTTTGATAAAACACAATATAAAAGTGCAGTCTTTGGCTTGGAAGGCTCCTGGACAGGACATTCTATCATCTGCAGGGACATCATTGTCAACAACATGAGCTGCTAGAAAATTGGCTCTTCCTCTTCATTCATAGTAACAATGTCATCCTGGTTCTTAATGTTCCACCATGAGTAGCAAGTTGATTTGTTTGTTGCAGGTGCTGTCCCCTCTGACATCATCGGTCCTGGCTGAGAGGAGTATCAGGGTGCTGGATGATAAAGTGAGTGTGACGGAGCTGGGGGTGCAGTTGGTTTCTGGACTCTCTTTGTCCCTGCAGCTCAGCCCAGGGAGCAACAGGGCCATTGTCGCCACTGCAACCACACAGGAAGTCATCGACTCGCTCCAACAGGTACGAATGAAATGCATCCAAATAAGGGAAAATCTAATCTTAACCGTATTAGCACTGCACTTTGCATTGTATTGAGTTTATAAACCCATGGCTGAAACAGATTTTATGGAGCATACGCAATTTTTACTTTATAATTATTTCCCTCTTGATATAGTAAAGCCATCTCTTTGATTTCCAAATCCAACCACTGAACAGTTCTGTTATTCCTGTAATTAGAATTTCAAATGGAAAAGGTCTACCGTCTCTTCCCTTAGAGAGAAAAGCATATTTAGCTTTCAGGATAATGGCTCCATATCCAGTTGTTTCCGTGAGCCTTTCAACTGTGATTAATGCTTTATTTTGCCTCTCAGTTTTCTCTGGTCATTATTATGCATTAGTTAGAATGAGCCGATTACTGTTATTTTATTTACAGGGTTATTTTCTCTGTTTTAGTGAATACAAATTCTGTTTGTGTGTGTATTTCCTTAGGAGTCCCTCATTAGTGCTTGGCTTCAGTTCAGTGATGGATCCATGACTGCTCTGGACAACTATAACCCTTCCCATTTTATTCTGACTGCCACCTCTTTGGATGAACGGGTGGTGGCGGTGCAGCGCAGTGCGGCGTGGAAGTGGCCCATCATTGTTGCCAAGGGGGAAGGACAGGGTTTGCTTGTGCGCGTTGAAATGAGCCCGTCAGTGTTGTGCCAGAAGGGAAAACGACGTACTATTTTAGCCAGTGGAATGGCAAACATACAGACAAGGTTTGGTCAACCGGAGGGGCAATACAGACAACCAGGAGACCGGCGTACACGTCCAGATCCTCCATATTACGGTGGATCTATCTCAGACATGGAAACTGGGTTGGTCAACCGTGGCGCCACAACAATCAAGGGCCATGTCCCAGTGAGACCTAATGGAGGCCGTCTATCAGCAGACAGCGGGGCCAGGGTCCCAAACGAATTATCAGAATTCCCAGACCAGGCAGAGCTGCCTCGTAGCCGCAGCACTGTGGACGACTTGTTACCTACCCGACGAGGACTGACAGACCTGGAGATTGGGATGTATGCTCTGCTTGGAGTCTTCTGCCTTGCTATCCTGGTTTTTCTCATTAACTGCATATCTTATGCATACAAGTACCGTAGCAAGCAGCTGACCCTGGAGACCACGGAGACAATGCCCCATGCTCACGACTGGGTTTGGCTGGGCCAGGACGAGGGGCTCTGTCTGCAGCAGCAGCAGCAGGACGAGCTGAGCGCTACCCTAGAGGAGGGGAGTCAACTATTGAATGGAGGTATCCAGCGTGGAAATACCGGTGTGGGAGGCTGTAGTTTGAGTGGGAGGGATCACAGAAATGAATCCCTTAACTCACCCACCACCAAGAGAAAGAGGGTGAAGTTCACAACCTTTTCCAATGTCAGGTCCAGTAATGGTTGTCCTGTGCTCAGCCCATTAGCACTAATGCAGACCAGTGAGATAAAATGGGTATGTCCGGACATTGAGCTCGGGGACTCAAAGGAACTTAGGGACTACATGGACAAGCTTAATGAGAATGCAATTAAGAACATTGTATAGGGGGTGCTGGGTGTTTTCAATGAACTAAAGAGAAACTCACCTGAATGCCTTCAGAATCAGTTGGGGATGAGGGTTGGCGGTGGGAAAAGAAAAATGGTCGCAAAAAACTGACTGGGCCTGCTGTTGGACTGTTTACCATGACAACAGGATAGTGCATTCAGCTTTTGTTGTTTCTATGACAGTTGTCAGAAAGGGTCATGCAACGGACCATGACGGGACATGATTTGCCACAACCCCACAGCATAGTTATGAAGCGGAAAATGTGAATTTGATATTGTTGCTTAACTTAAATGTACGTTTTTTGTCTTTAATTGAGGTTCAATTTCAGTTTTCTATGCGCCATGTACTTTGTTTTTCTTTATTTACTCATCTTGTTTTAATGTTGTATTTGTTGTACTTTTTTGCGCTTTGTTTATGTTTTTTAAGAGTTGCTCTGTACCACATGTCCGCAGTTATAGATTCTAGGAGAGAAGAGATAAAATAACTTTTTTATTGTATATAAATTCAGAGTTTGATCTGGAGGTATTATATGTATAGTAATATTTTGTAAAGTGCGGTTTGGTTTGGTTTTGTTTGTAGTTTGTTTTTTTGTCTCCAGAAACCAGATCCATGCATGACATTTTTGAAGAGGAGGCATGTGTGTCTGATCTGAAATGAAAGTGTGTAGATAACTAATACCAATACCTCTGGAGACATGTCAGTTTAATATTATTGCGTTTTTCTTGAAGTTGGGTTTTGGGTTTGTTTCTGTATGTTGATTTTGGTTAATGATTTGTGTCAGCCCATAAATGTTCCCTTCTTATGTTAATCTTATTATTTATGCGACCCCCCCCTCCCCTCCCCTCTATTCAGTTGCATACCTTACAGAGAGTAGACTTTTTAAACTACTACTGATACTACATATTGAAAAAAAGGAATTAAGTCGCATTCAACACTAACGAAACATTGATCATCAAGAAAATCAATCGACAATCACATAAAAAAATGTATGTTCATTTACAATGTTCCATCAAAATGAGTCCAGTTTACAGTTTGTATGGTCTAGGTGGAGATCGGTTAATATAGTTAACATCTTAAAATACTGTGTATGACATTTTGGATCCCAGATTAATAGTCATGTAAGTGAATCAACAAACTTTGAAGTGAGGCCCAATGTCTGATCTCTTCACTCCTTTTGTCAAATGTCAGTATTAGTCGAGTCCATCTTTTTCTATCTCTGTTTTAAAATTGGCTGCTGGACTAATTAAAACTGAAGGTGACTCTTCTCCATCATGCTCATGTGTGATTCATTGGTCTGGCTTTCGTATTGTTCTCTCGTTGCGTCTAGTTTTACTCATCTGACTGGTTTATGGGAATATACAAACATTGCTTTAACACAAATCAAAATGAAGTGAGTAACACTAGAGGGCAGTTTTAAAAGAAAAGAAGTAATCCACAAAAATTACAAAGAGGGTTGTCTGGCATTTTAATTGGATTTAAATTAACAGAATATAATGGACTTGAAGTGTGAAGTGCAGCTGTACTATCAAGGGAAAAAAGAATACTGGATAGGGATTATTGAATGATTTATAAAATACAAAATTATTTAATCGGAACATCCCTAATGAGCAGATCCCTATTAAAAAGTGATGCAGTATCCAGTAGAATCTGTAACACAATCAGGCATAAGAAACATCATTTGCATTAAGCATCATACCGTTTAGTATAATTTTTCAACATAATGAACTGTAAAATAGTTCTATGCCAAATGTGTCAGAGCCCTAAAAAGCTTCAAATCCTTTTCCACAGGATCACAGACATGCTCCCCTTTCTGAAAGGGCAACCTAATTAGAGAATACTTAGTTCTGTCTTATTACATGTTAATGTGACATTTCCTAGGCAATTTGTCTTGCCCACTTGCTGTACTTATGAATCTCCTCAGATATAATTTGCACCCTAATTAAAGCAAAGCCAGAGAACTGTGCATTGGAGATGTGCCCAGGTTACAAGGAAAGTCTAAGCGTAAACATTTGATGTAAGAATAAAGGCACGGGGATGCTTTCTCATCTACAGTTGCAAGAAAAAGTCTGTGAACCCTTTGGAATTACCTGGATTTCTGCATAAGTTGGTCATAAAATGGAGGTGCCCTGATTGCTGCACGTTTGAAGTTTGCAAAAGAGCACCTGGATGTTCCACAGCGCTACTGGCAAAATATTCTGTGGACAGATGAAACCAAAGTTGAGTTGTTTGGAAGGACCACACAACGCTATGTGTGGAGAAAAAAAGGCACAGCACACCAACATCAAAACCTCATCCCAACTGTGAAGTATGGTGGAGGGAGCATCATGGTTTGGGGCTGCTTTGCTGCCTCAGGGCCTGGACAGATTGCCATCATCGACGGAAAAATGAATTCTCAAGTTTATCAAGACATTTTGCTGGAGAACTTAAGGCCATCTGTCCACCAATTGAAGCTCAACAGAAGATGGGTGATGCAACAGGACAACGACCCAAAGCACAGAAGTAAATCAACAACAGAATGGCTTCAACAGAAGAAAATACTCCTTCTGGAGTGGCCCAGTCAGAGTCCTGACCTCAACCCAATTGAGATGCTGTGGCATGACCTCAAGAGAGCGATTCACACCAGACATCCCAAGAATATTGCTGAACTGAAACAGTTTTGTAAAGAGGAATGGTCCAAAATTCCTCCTGACCGTTGTGCAGGTCTGATATGCAACTATAGGAAACGTTTGGTTGAGGTTATTGCTGCCAAAGGAGGGTCAACCAGTTATTAAATCCAAGGGTTCACATACTTTTTCCACCCTGCACTGTGAATGTTTACATGGTGTGTTCAATAAAAACATATTGTTTGTGTGGTTTTAGCTTAAGCAGACTGGGTTTGTCTATTGTTGTGACTTAGATGAAGATCAGAACACATTTTATGACCAATTTATGTAGAAATCCAGGTAGTTCCAAAGGGTTCACATACTTTTTCTTGCAACTGTACATATCTTCCTTAAAAGAGCTGTATGTTTATAGATTTGTTCAGTAGATGTACAACATAAAAGCATATCTTTCATCAGAATTTAAATAATGCATCTTTACATGGTTTTAATGATAATGTGATTGCCAAACAATATACATCAATAAAAATGTCATTGTTTTATCTATGTTTAAAAAGGTAGAAGTGCCTATTTTTCCTGCTTTGCTTTAGTTTTCCGTTTTCTTTTTTTATCACAGTGCTTATAAGGTGGGTCCCTGTCACAACTAAATCATTCGGAGGATTGTACGTTATCTTATGACTGACACTCTGGGTTGCAATTATTAACTTCAACTGACCATATCATGCCTCTGTGCTCATTCACATCAATGTGGAGCACAGACCAGCTGTCTGTGTGACTACTGGCTTACAAAAGTTAGTCAAAACTAGAATATTTGCACAGGAGGAGACTTGACTTAACTACACAACACTTTCCCAATCTCTCCTGCCACAGAGCTTGCTCAGCAGAGCTCAACTTGACATGATTGAGATGAACAGTCAACCTTAAATGGCACCATAACTTTCCCCAGAGTCACTGAAACAGTACAGTCATGTGTGGTGATGGGATTTCTACCTGCTGAGATAATATAAAACCAAGACAAATGCAAAACTGTCCTCAAGCGCCAGATTTTAGGCGTTAGCTCAGCCAAATGTAACCACCCAGTTGAAAGGCCGAACATGAACACAGGCCACCGTAACCTTAGAAAAGCTAATGAGCTAAAGCTAATTAAGAGGTCCGGACCATTCATTTGGTATGGGTCCTGATAAATATGGACAAAAAATAATTATGGTTGTGAGAGATGCTGCTATGAAATAGGGTAAGCCAATTAAAAACATACTACATCCTAGGTGCTATGCTGTGACACAAAGAGAAAATATCTGAGCGGATTTCTCATTGAACAGTTAACTGGCCTTATCCACCTGGATGACCATTTGTTTTTTAATTGACTTTTTGACTAAATACGTGTCTTAGCAAATTTACTTTTGACTAAATGCCTGTCTTAGCAAAGCCTGTGGACTGAAAGGGATCAAATGCATTGATAACGTATTACACATAAGCACAACAAAGACAGAACATCACAGCCTCTACATCAACCAGCTGATAACCAATTCCTCTCTACACTCTTCCCTGCCTCAGCCCTTTTGGGATTACCTGACAAAATGGAAGGGCCGGTTAATACTGGCCCTAAACTCACCTCCCCCAAACTCTGCCGCGTTGTATGCCTTAACCTAACCAAGAACCTTCTGTGACACTAACCTTGGAAAGAAAGAGAAAACAGCTCTCTCCCGCCTGTTCTGGTTAGCCTGATAAGGACGGTGAAGTCACCAAAGGTTTGCTCATGTCCCCTACCTCCCATCTTGGTGATTTCTGTAAGAAGCTGAGATCATTGATAAGGGATCTGGATGGGATGCAACAGGATGCTTTTGGAAATGCAGTGCCACATTTATAAAAGTCGGCAGTTCAATCAACATCCCTTATCTTTCCTCTAATTGGCATGGAATTACTGTATGGTAGACCCCATCAATGCAAAGGAATATGCTCAACAAGATTGCTAGAATGTAAGGTCCAGAGGGGAGGGAGGGGGGAGGCTCTGCCGTAAGCTCTGCTGTGATTGGTTGATAGGTCATCAGTTGCCTCACTTTGTCCTCCTTATCTTAACCTTATATTTGTGGCCAGAGAAAGGCGAAAGGAAATGCAGACTTATTTAATGATTATATCAATATGAAGAACAGAGAAGCACTGCACAAGTTTTGCTTGCTTGCATCTGAATTCCTTTCAACTGAGAAATTCCATGAGCCATATTTAAGGTTTAAGACAAGCCATTAAAAACCCATGCCATTCCAAAACAATGAATTCCCATCTGCAATCACATGGAAACAATAATAGCATAACTGGACAGAACTCTGAAAGAAGTTTTGCATGCATTCTTTTGTATAGTCTGAGGCCTTTTAGTGGTATTTATTATGAATTTCAATTGGAATTCCTACCGAGTCTGAGAGTATAGGCTGAAGCTGAGAGTCTGGATGGCTCAGATTAAGTCTGTTGGATTCTGTGTACTATGATTGAGACGCCAGCCCTACGCTCATTATTAAATACATGTTGTTGTGACTCAGACTTGTTCTCTCCAATCTCTACAGATAAAGTCCAACAGCTTGCCTTCCTCCAGCAGGGTCAACACTATTCTTCCTGTAAACCCTTAAATTACTCCACTAACCTATGACTTTTTGTCCTTTCTTTTTTCTTTAAACTTTGATAAACTCCACCCTGACATAAGGATGCAACCTATCGACTGTACTTATTACCTTACATTTTTGAAAATATAAACTTGATTGACTTAAACCTCAGCTTTGTGTTGCGTTTTTTATTCCTTTCCAAAAGATCCTAACATCTTACCACCATCTCAGTGGACATTCTTATCACACAGCCCACGCTGCTCCATTGAGATTTTTCTCCCTACCACTGAGGCACTCCAAACTGCCCTTCACTTCTCATTCTTGACCCCTTAGACTGGTGCCTGCGTCCTCCACACTACGAACTGCCAGGTGCTCGTCTGGCAGAGAGGAGGATCTCTGGATCTGCACTCCTACTCACTAACCAACTGACAGCTGCTGTCAGGTATAATGAAATGGACTCCTGTAACCATTACAAACCATCTCCAGTGACATTCCCCATGCAATACATCACTAGTTATCCTATTTCACAAATTTCCTATATCGTTGCCATGCCATCAATACTCAACACACCCTTTACTTCTTGCCATTTCTTCCCTTTGACAGGCTTGGGCGAGCATCACCAATTATACTGCAATGTCACCTATCACCCTACCACCTGACAGTTGCCCTTCTTCTAGGGTTTACACTGCTCTCATTACCCTAACGGTTTGCACTCCACAAAAATGATTCTCAAAGAAGAGTCTGTGGAAGCGACAGCAGGGTGTCAATGAGAAACTCAACTCGAGAAAGGTCAATTGCAGATCAATTGTGGCTACAAGTTTGAAAATATGCAATGAAAGAAGTGTGTGTGTGTGTGTGTGTGTGTGTGTGTGTGTGTGTGTGTGTGTGTGTGTGTGTGTGATTTATGGGTTGGACTGGTGCAATTAAAAGAGGTTTGAATATGGTATTGTTTTCTTTATTCTGCTGACATTGAAACATTGCTTTTAGTGAGGATGAAGAAGGCAGCAGATGAAACTCTTTGTTTTCTTTTTAAAGAAGGCTTTGACCTGGCTGTTTGTACA